GGAGCGCGTCCACCCTACATCAAGATAGTTTAAATATCTCGTTCAAAATTGAAACAGTATAAGTTTCTGATTTAAAATGTGCTATATTTAAATTATTTAATTATTTTTTTCGTTCAAGTACTTTAACAGCACAAACTGCATATACGAGGTATTTATTTGACTCTACTGCCATTACTTGAAACAAATACATTATTCGATATTACAAATTGAACTCTGGAATATTGCGATAATAGATTTATATTGCGATATAAATTACGAGTAATTTTTTTTCATTGTACAGACTAGGTTTAAATTTTTGAGGACCTCTTCTTTTGAACATGGCTTGACCTTTTCATTTTTATGATTTTTGGGAGATAGGGTGAGAAGGACGAATGAGGGTAAGAGAAGACGAGATAGGCGAAGAGGGTGGAAGAGAACGAAAGAGGGTGAGAAAAACGTACGAGAGTGAAAGAGGTGAGAGAGAGTGAGAGAGGACGAAGAGGGTGAAATAGGACGAAAGAGGGTGAAAAGAGGCGAAAGAGGGTGAAGAAGAATGAAAAAGGTGAGACCAAAATGAAAGAGGGTGAGACAGAATGAACGAGGGTGAGAGAGGACGAAAGAGAGTGAAAAAGGACGAATTTTGGGTGAAAGAGGGTGAAAGAGGACGAAAGAGGGTAAAGAGGTGAGAGAGAATTAAAGAGAGTGAGATAGAACAAAGGAGAGTGAAAGAGGACGAAAGAGGTAAGATAGGTCGAAAGAGGTGAGAGAAAATGAAAGAGATGAGAGAGGTACAAATGAAGTGAAAGACAACGAAAGGGTGAGAGATGGCGAAAGAGGGTGAAAGAAGACGAAACAGGTGAAAGAGGACGAAGATGGTGAAAGAGGGTGAAGGAGGACGAAGAGGGTGAGGTAGGACGAAAGAGGGCGAAAAAGGGTGAAAGAGACGAAAGAGGGTTGAAAGAGGACGAAAGAGAGTGAAAGAGGACAAAGAGCGTAAAAGGACGAAAGGGGGTGAATGGAATAAGATGGTGAAGAGGGTGAGAGAGAATGAAGATGGTGAAAAGATGACGAAAGAGGGTAAAAGAGGACGAAATAGGGTTGAAAGATCGAAATATGGTGTAAATAGACGAGAGGGTGTAAAGAGGACGAAAGAGGTGAAAGAGTACAACAGAGGGTGAAAGAGAACGAAAAAACCTGAAAAAATCGGACAAAGAGGTGAGTTTATGTCGAAATAGGATGGAGTTGGGGTGTTGGGGGGCGGGGGACTGGATTTGGGAGGGTAAAGGATGGTGGAAAGTTAGGTAGGTTTTTAGTGAAAGGTAAAGAAGAGGATTTATATATATATATAATCCTGATGACGTCAGCGGACGCGGACAATAGAAGAAGAAGAAGAAGACGACGTTACTTCACTTACTTTCTACTATTTCATGAAAACGTCACTTTTGACCGCTTGTATGTCCAGAACGGCTTGACCGATTTTATTTCTTCTTGGCTCAAATTACTCGTGCAATGCCGCCTTTCAGATTATATTACGTGCAATTCAAAATTTTTTATATTTTAGTATTCTACACCCCCAAAAAATGGACTTTGATGGTGCAGGATATGAGATTTGTAGTGTCTTTTTAAGGTCTTTTAGGGTTTGACATGGCCGGAGACACTACCGCGTCTCCTGATAATAACGTATCCTGCCAATTATTGACATGTAGACTCTCAAGAGACATCTTTGCAATAATTCCTATGATATATTTATTTATCGATAATCCTGATGATAAATAAATCTGTAATCTGTTATGCATTTGGACAAACTGTATTACCAATCTTATGAGTAATGAAATACGGTCGATAAATCAATCATACGATTATTGCGCCACCGCGATTTAATTTCAGTGGCATTATTGTTACTAGAGGTGCGTTCCGTTTTATTACGCATATGCCCGCATTTATCTACACATTTAGTATACGTCACATTTACCATAGAAAATACCATAGAAAATGCGCTCATATGCCTGAAACGGAACGCACCTCAAGTTGACTACTTCTTCACGCCATGTCCAGTGAGCCATTTGTGCAGATTTGGGCGGCAAGATGTAAGACCAACATTGGTCACCCGAGGCCATTAAACATTTAAGAAAAAGAAGAAGCCATTTGTGCGTCGTACTACGTGTAATAATAATTAATTAACGCGTCTAATTAATTTTATGTCTAATAAAAAAATGACTAAAGAAGAAAAAAAAGAAAAAGAAAAACACAAAATGTAAGTATGTTCCCAGCACACACAAATTAACAGTAACAACATCAATGTAAATTTTCACTCGGCAATGTAACCCCAATGTACCATACTTTATATGTAAAAGTTACATTGTTAAGCGGGAAATTATTAGAACATTGATGTTATGTTACTGTTACTTTGTGTTAGCTGATGAGTTATGAGAGAGAGAGAGAGAAAGACCAATTAATTATGTAATTTTTTATTATAGGATTTTTCTGGAGAAATTGATGAAACTGCGATGCTGCGAGCAGAAATTTATAATTTGCAGAAGCAACTGTCAGATGTAATTACAAATTCCTCAATTGTACCACAGACTTCCTCTACAGCCACATCATCTGCTCCGCAGACTACTTCTACGTCCACATTAGTTGCACCGCAGACTATTTCTACAGCCACATCATCTGCTTCACAGACTATTTCTACGTCCACATTAGCTGCACCGCAGACTACTTCTACGTCCACATCTGCCGCACCACAGACTGCCTCTGCATCTACATTGAAAGGACCATCTTCCACAATAGAAATAAAAGTAAATAGACCATCAAACAAGCAGTTGGAAGAACAAAATTTACAACGTGAGTAATAAATCATAAAGATCATATCTTTGGTTAAGAACAATAAAATTGTTAAATTAGTCTTTCTGCATATGACTCATGTACAGTCACAAACATATTCTTTCAAACTGTAAGATCTGTTCAATTAATGTAGAAATTGATACATTGTTTTTTTGAAAAAATTTTCTATAAGACAATGTGTCGATTTTATGATTGTATCTGACATATCTTGCATCGCTGGGAAAATGTGTGACTCTGCAGAATTCATATTATTATGATTGTATTTATTAAAATAAAACGTATTGATATTACACTTTCTATTTTTTCAGATCAAAAACAAGCTCAATGGACACGGGCGGGAAGAGGCCGTGGCATGCGTAGCCATGGAGCGCGTGGTCGTGGAGCGCGTGGCCGTCAACATGGCAACGTATACATCAGTTATTATTAATTGATGTTTACATTTATTTTTAGACTTACTAGAGCTCAAATGCTCCACATTTTTTGCAAAAACTGTTTATTCTACAGATTTCAAATATGCTTTTAAATGATGATTGAATATTTCCTTTTTTTAATTATTTTCATTATTATTTTTCAATCTCAATCAACTTCTATAACTTTATGCCAGCACGATACAAATACATGTGTCTTTATTTTTTTATTATTTTCATTATTATTTTTCAATCTCAATCAACTTCTATAACCTTATGCCAGCAGGATACAAATACATGTATGTCTTTATTATTATATCAACTCTTGTCTTTTCCATGTAACCATGTCTTCATAGTTTGAATTATTACTTCATCTTCTCAATCTTTCGCAGAGATTTAATTAATTAAATACACGTCACACAAAATAAAGTTTGTTGGAAGATATACAGCAGACGATAACTGTAAAAACATGATTACGTGGAAAGAACAAGAGTTGGTACAGTAAAGGCAAGTAAGTAAGTACATGTAATGTATCGTAAATTGGCATAACGCTATATCCGCGGAGCAGATAATGTGGCTGTAGAGGTAGTCTGCAGTGCAGCTAATGTGGACGTAGATGTTGATTGAGATAATTGTCTAATATAAAATAGAATTTAAAAATTTAGTTTAAAAAGCTGCTGCATATATAAATAAAGTTTATTTTTTCTAAATTTGGGATATGTTTAATTAATTAATTTTTTAAGTCTATGTTTAATAAATTTTTAAGTCTGTATTTAATATTTTATTCATTTGATAAATACATGTATGTCTTTATTTTGATATGTTTAATATAATTAGAAATTCATTATTAATTAGATATGTAAACTATAAATTTATATATAATATATAATATTTAAAAATATATGTGAATATTTAAATTTTTATCTTCTCCTTCCTCTCCTTCAATCTCTTTAATATCAATATGTGTATGTGTGTACACGCGCGCACATTTGTACGTATTTATTTAATTATCGGATAGTTGAGAGTATATAGTTTACTGTTATCTTAAAAATTATATTAAGACTATTGTACAAGAAAAATAAAATCTAAAACAGAATTTAATTTGTTCAAAGGTGGATAACAATGCAAACTTATAAGCTTTATCAAATACGTATACATATATTCTTCGTGCATAATTTGATGGCACGTACGTCACAGTTTGTGTTCTCTAGAAAGTGTGACGGAAAGCAATAGATTAGGCAAACAGGCTTTCGTTACGTACGCGTAAATTAAAAAAAAGGAATCGATAATATGTAAAGTTACGAAAAACTTTGTGTTTAATAATTATACACGTAGAGAATTTTCTCTTAGGAATTACCCTAAAAATTATGGTAATCGTGACACAATATTAGAAAAATTTTATAAGTTTCTCGGAATTTCTTGTGTGTGTGATTATTAATATTTACCTCAATAAAAAATATATTAATATGTACACAGTAAATTTTATTATATCTTATTGTAGTAGATATCCATAAAAAAAATACCTTTTTTAAAGATTTTTTAATTTTCTCTGACATTGATTTAATTCGCGTATTATATCCGCAGCATGTTTAAATGTCGCATAACTTGGCATCTCAGACCAATCGCCTTGCACATCTATTGGTCAACAGCGAAGAATCGTTTTAATTTTATATTTTAATATTTAACTAACTTTGTATTTTTAACATTTAACTTTGTATTTTAATATTTAACTTTTATGTATTGATAAAGACTGTAGTGCAGTCGAAACGTTTACAATTTATATCGTTTTTGTAACGGAATGTTAATTTAATTATTTAACTATTAATAAATTTTTACATCTTATTTATTTGCTCGTTCAGTTGACCTACTATATTTGATTTGTTTAATTTTGTTAATTTATACGAGCCTTTCATTAATTAATTTTAATAAACGCTGGCCTTATAATGCGTGGGACTAATTACCCGTTCAAATACCATCGGTTTAATTCTAGTTTTATTTATAACTGTTTTGGTCTAGAAACGTTAAAACATTTTAAATCTTGGCTAAATTTTAATTATGCGATAATTAGAGCAATGTCGAAGTTGAAATTTTTAAGGGAATGTAAGAGATATTGTCTGTTTCCCAACCATTTGCGTAATTTCTGTAACAATAAATTTGTTTTCTACCACTATAAATCAAAAAATAGGATGCGTGGTTTGTTGCATAATGTCAGAACTGAAATTCTTAACATAGAGATATTTGATTTACATAGAACATTAAACTCACTGAGTAAAAAACGGTCAAGGCAATTCCAAATTCTCCAAAATCTTTTACCATCTTATATCTGGCAGGAGATTTTAAATCACCATTGCAACTCCTTTTCTTTGTTCAACCAAAAATTATATCTCATACATAAGAAAAAATTCCTATGGCTACGTAAATCGCATGAAACAGAGTACATTAAAAATATTGATCCTATCGAATTGAAAACAACGGTATCATCGACAAATATTGTTGATAACACTGTTTCTGCCAACAGTTTTCGTTGTGCTACACATAATCCTTTACAACAAACTAACCAGAAATGGTTTATTAATTTAACTGATAAAAATATTCCCCCCAATGTAACCAATCTATTACAATTGGGAGGTGAATTTAGTCTCCCAGTTAACTTAAATAAAAAGTAGCTATACACGAATTCATCAAAGATATAGAAAGCAATTCTAACGGGATCAGAAATCGTACTTCGATTCGTAATGCTGCCATTCCACAATTTTCATTATTTTTAAACAAGAATGACAAAAAAACGGACATACAAGAAAAATTACTTCACATGCATAAAGACACAATTAAATTCTGCAATCAAAATTCTAATATTTTATTTACTAGAGCAGATAAAGGCAGCATTACAGTCGCATTAGAAAAAGAATTTTATATAAAAAAAGTTGAGAGTCTCCTAGAAGACGATTCTACGTATACCATAGTTAAAAACAATCCATCAACAAAAATAGAAAAAGACCTCAATAATTGTCTAAAAAAATGGTTGAAAAAAGATTTCATCAACAAAAAAGAATATTATTATTTATTTTCAAGCGACTCCCTTCTTCCTAAAGCCTATGGGCTCCCCAAGATCCACAAGGAAAATATTCCTTTTAGATTAATAGTTTCCTCAATAAATACTTCTCTATATAATATTGCTTCCTTCTTTCATAAAATTTTAAAAGATAGCCTTCCTAGAGCTGACAGTTTTGTGAATAACAGTTTCGATATATGCAACATTCTATCAGGGAAAACACTACAAGATTCCGACATAATAGTTTCATTGGACGTTGTTTCATTATTTACTAATGTTTCCGTAGATCTTGCATTAAACGGTATCAATAATAGATGGCATTTTATAGAGTCACACACAAAGATTCCCAAAAATGAATTCATAGGTATGATAAAATTTATATTAACTTCTACATTTTTCACGTTCAATAACATAACTTACAAACAAATTTACGGGACTCCTATGGGTTCCCCACTTTCTCCGATCATTGCCGATATAGTCATGCAGGACTTGGAAACATTGGTAATTAGTAATTTAAATTGCGAAATGACTTTTTATTTCCGTTATGTAGACGACATTATTTTATGCACTTCCGCTGACAATATTACATATGTTTTGAACGAATTCAACAATTATAACGATAGACTACAATTTACATTAGAAAAAGAGGATAATCGGTGTATAAGCTTTTTGGACATAATGATCAAAGTAATAGATAATAAAATTTATTTAGATTGGTATCACAAAAAGACATTCTCAGGTAGATTACTTTCATTTTTTTCAAATCATCCGACTTGTCATAAAATAGGAACAATTTATAACTTGGTAGATAGAGCTTTATTACTATCACATCCGCAATTTCACAAAAAAAATATAGAGAAAGCTATTAACATTTTGCTATCCAACGGTTATCCTCTTGATCTAATTTTCACAGAAATAAAACGCAGATTAAAAAATCTCTCAACTAAGAAATTTAACAAGCCTAATAATAACAATATAACAGATACTAATAATACTAATACTAGCATTAAATATTTTGTCATACCATATATAGAATCAATATCTGAGAAAGTTGCTTCAGCAATAAGAAGACCTGACGTAGTGGTAAGATATCGTTGCATTAAAAAATTGAATGACTTCATAAAAGTTCAAAAGGACAGAAATAATTGCTCCACGAATTCTAATGTTATTTATAAATTGAATTGCAACGATTGTGACGCCACATATGTCGGACAGACAAAAAGACAGTTAGGAACGAGACTTAAAGAACATAAAAATAATATTAAATTAGACTCTGCTAAACACTCGGTTGTCACGGAACACATTCTAAACGAACAACATACATTTGACTGGGACAATATTAAAATTATGGATCATGAAAAGAATTACCATAAAAGGCTAATATCTGAAATGATCCACATTAAAGAACAGAAAAATAGAATTAATTTAAATAAAGACACCGAATTGTTAGACAGTAGTTATTTTGACATACTTAAAAAATTTGCTGAATCATAGTTTAGAAAAAACATTGGTAATAAATAAATACATCACGCTCTCTATTTCGACATTTGTTATTCAGACTTCGCAACACACACTTGAAATATCGGGAAAAAGGACTTGTTAAAACGATAATGTAAGTTGAAAGATTTTTTAATTTTCTCTGACATTGATTTAATTCGCGTATTATATCCGCAGCATGTTTAAATGTCGCATAACTTGGCATCTCAGACCAATCGCCTTGCACATCTATTGGTCAACAGCGAAGAATCGTTTTAATTTTATATTTTAATATTTAACTAACTTTGTATTTTTAACATTTAACTTTGTATTTTAATATTTAACTTTTATGTATTGATAAAGACTGTAGTGCAGTCGAAACGTTTACAATTTATATCGTTTCTGTAACGGAATGTTAATTTAATTATTTAACTATTAATAAATTTTTACATCTTATTTATTTGCTCGTTCAGTTGGCTTACTATATTTGATTTGT